AACTCGATAGTACGATACTTAATCGAGGATAAATGTAGACATCCATGAGCCACAGCATCCACTTACCTTCAGGTGAACCGCATGCTCGTTTGTCAACTTCGGGGATAGAACCCGAGTTGCTCGTGAACTGTCCAATTTACAGCGAGCGTTTAGCTTCTGAGCTACACGATTCTAATTCCATTATGGTATAATGGAATTGGTTCGGCGGTAAAGTAAATCATCGTAAGGAAACCAGCACGCGCCTGAGAACAAAAATCGATCAAGCACACTAAAGCTTGCACGCTAAAGTAATAATGAACCCCAGACCGAATCCCAGTCACGGCGGCTAGTCTCAACGGAGACTAGCCATCAGTTCTACTAGGATATAGTGCACAAATATGTGCGCAAGTGCATCTGCACTTTCTATTTCACATGTGTTGATGAATAGATAGACGACAATCCGACAAAACCGGAGAAATCAGGCGCAGGACCAACGGGCTTACGTGCCTTCCGAGGTACAGGGAAGAAACACCGCCATCTCACTCTCACTCACTCTCATCTCACTTCGGGCTGCTAGTGAGAACTCTTGACATAAAAACCCAACAACTGTTTTTTTGGATCGACCCGGAATTCGAACCTGGGACTACATGATCAGTAGTGACAATGGCGCTTACGACCCCAAGACCAACTTTGCATACGTAAATTTGCAGCTATTTTACGTCCAAAAGCTGGGCACAGACCTCTCATTCATGTACTGGCGCCGGGAACGGAAGCAATAGATAGACTCTGTCCAGATTTTTTTTAATAGAATAAGGTTGACAAACGAGCACACAGTCCACATGATGGTAAGTGGATGCTGTGGCCCATAGACATCTACATTTATCCTCGATTAAAAATCAAAACGCAGATGCGTTACCACCCCTGAGGACTAAGATGTAATGCCTCGTTTCCAGTAAAAAAGGGCCTCCGGATCTCTACACTCACCATACGAAACACAGCGGCATTAAGCTACTATTTTACGCTGTTATTCATTTCACTCAATATCCACATCAATTCCACTTATACCGTATTATTACAACTGTGACGCCGCAGCAAAAAGGACTTAAGTCGTAAATAATTAAATTATAGTTTAAAAAAAAAACTAAAGAAACACGCTAAAGATAAAATTATTTTATTTTATCCTGATGATCCTGATCAGAATACTCGGATAATGTTATTAAATTGTTGTATTGCTATTGGACCTTGATACGAGTGTAAATTTTCAAGTCAGTTGGCCGTCTACAAATTGGTGAAAATAACATTAAATGATTCCGTTACATATAGCATAATAGCAACATCTTAAGCTTATAAAAGCATGTTAAAAAGACAATTTAGTCATAGTTTAAGCTCAAAACTATCAATAAATCGTTTTTTAAATAAAATGCACAATATTTATATAACTATTAAAATTCTGATTTAGGAACCATAAATATATTTTCGCAAATTGTTTAAAATTAAAATGGCAGTACATTTTAATCTTCATACACAAAAAGGACGTTGACCTCGGCGTCGGTGGAAGTATGGCTACGTTATTATTTATTCTGTGGTATGGCGCGGGATATACTAATGACCTATGATGTCATTTCAGGCAGTAGGGACAAATTATAGGAACTATTCGTACAATTTGCAACGCCTACGATAAGATAATTTCTTCGTTGTCATTGAGTTTAAAATAAGGAAAACCAGAAAAATACAATGTGTTCATAAGTTACAGTTAAGATACATACAATTAAGTCGTAACTAAAAACTTTTGAGATAGACCAGAAATAGATGTTTTTTTTTACACAATTAATAGTCACAAACGAGGTCACAGTCCATTTGATGGCTGTAGCACATAAACTTTAGACAATTGATAAAAAAAAAAAACAGATGCATTGAGTGACTAGGACTATGATGGAATACTTTATAAATAGGGTATATGGATGTCTTCTCTCCTCATTTGAAACACGGCAGTATTACGCTGCTATGTAACTATGATATCTTACGTCCTTTCCCGGTCCAGCCGAACCATTTGTGCTACTTTCAAATAACAGCTGTAAAGTGCCTATATGACATATAAAAAAATTTAGGTAAGGTTACGATTTGAAGAGCCGTGGTAGCTCAGGGGTTTAGCGCTCGCTGTAAAAAAGTAAGTGATCAACCCAGGTTCGATTCCCGCGGGCACCAATGAGTGTTCATTGCAATTTTAAGTGCTCATTTATCACGCGCTCAGCAGTGAAGGACAACATCGTGAGGAAACTTGCATTTTTTATAGATTTAGGGTGACAAACGAGCACACAATCCACCTGATTTTGAAGTGGATTCTGTGACCCATAAACATCTACATTAATCCTCAATAAAGTAATAAAATGCCGTTGTCACCCCTGAGCACTAAGATAGAAAGCCTCGTTTCCAGTAAAAGAGTCTCCGGTTCTCTACACTCACCATATGAAACAAAATATAGCAGCATTAATGTCATGTCTGAGAAATAAAAAATAAAAAAATTGGGGCAGCGCGGCGGACAATTTATTACGGACTATTACGCAGTGGAGCCGTGTAATTTTTGACAGGTATAAATGGCTAGAAACAAATTTCATATGTGGTAGAGCCACACTACAGTTCTTTTTTATGGTTGTAGCACGAATGGGTCGGCTCGACCGTAGGAGGACCACGCTCTCACAGAATATCAGCGTAAAATAGTAGCGTATTGCTGCTGTGTTTCATATGGTGAGTGTAGAGAACCGTAGACCCCATTTACTGGAATCGAGGCATTCCATCTTAGTCCTCAGGGGTGACTTTTTTAATTGAGGATGAATGTAGATATTAATGGGCCACAGCATCCACTTACCATCAAATGGATTCTATTCTCGTTTGTCACCCAATGCAATAATACTGAACAACAAATTATCGAAATACAGTGTCGACAGGTGTTGGACAAAGTTATTGGTATTGTTAGTGTCTATTACAACACACAGTTCTTGCAATTCACGAGTGCAGTCGACTCTTGGACGTGGTACGACATGTACATGCACAGTGTGATAGTGTGCGTGCCAGGCGGAGGAGTCAGTCGCGAGGGGACCCCCGCCCCGCCAGGCAAGCACACTATCCCACTGTGCATGTACATGTTGAACCACATCCAAAGATCAAATGCACTCATGAATTGAAAGAACCCTTTCAAAAACCTATCAAGGGTCTATTGCTGAACAAGGCCTTCCCCACAGATTGCGTCATAGGGTGGATGTTTGCAATAGTTGCCACGCTTGGCAGAGGGTTTTTTTGAGCGCAGCTTCTTTTTTTTTTCTTGTTACTAGGAAGACTTCCCATATCCTGGTTTGGCTGGTTGATACTTACACTACCACTACACAGTAGAACATCAACAACAACAACAACAATAATTGTCCGTTAGTCTTGCTAAAACTTGAAAACGGCTTCACCGATTCAAATTAAATTTTTTTGTGCTTTTGAATGGGTCCGTGGATGTTCTAACCGATTCACAATTGGACCCAGTAGGGCACTGTAGTCGGATCCAGAACTTATCCGTGCGAAGCCGTGGCGGATCACTAATCTTAATATATATAAATTACATGTCACATTGTTTGTCCGCAATGGACTCCTAAAGTACTTAACCGATTTTAATCAAATTTGCACACCATGTGTAGTTTAGTCCAACTTGAGAGATAAGTTAGTTTTATTGCCCATAATAATTTAAGGATTTTTAATAGGACATGACAAAGGGTCGACGAAAAGAGCAGAACAATGTCTGCCTGGCAAGCTAGTAGTTAATAAAACTATAAATAAAACAGTGAAGCTTTTTTCCAATTTCTTTTTTCTAATTTTCCAAAATTTATATTCTGGTAGTATTTCTGGTTACACAATTACTGTGTGTGTATTAAATGGTTAAAAATTGTGTTTTGTGTTATAACTTATTCTCTTTCTGAATGCTTACCAGATTCATAACATACTTATTATATTGTATTTGAGTATCTTGGTGACACTCAATGTCACTCTCTTCTTTCTGATAAAAACCTTATTAAAAATTCCCTCCTATAACACTTCTATTCTAAATAATGATATATTGAAGCTGTTCAGCTCCGAAACTCCCTACCGCTGCACATTAGAAGTGTACAATCTATTGAAAGGTTAAAAAAAAGGTTAAAAACTACTATACCTATTTATAGTATAAATAGGTATAGTATTTATTTTTGACTATGTTAAGGCTTTTATTTCACTTAATTTTTAAATCGTTTCTGCTCTTGTAGTGTATTTCCGTATCATCATCATCATCATCATCATTACAGCCCTTCACAAGTCCACTGCTGAACATAGGCCTCCCCCAAGGTATGCCACAAAGCACGGTCCTGAGCCACCTGCATCCATCGACTTCCTGCATGTCTTACCAGGTCGTCACTCCATCTAGTGGGGGTCCCCTTATTTCCATATATTTGTATTTAAATATATTTACTTATTACATTACGTATACATTTATCAAGTAAATAATTATATTTAGATCGTGTGTATTTTCCAACAACCTACATACACCATTACCCTGTCTCACAGGTCACTATATCCTCCGCAATGGTGGCCTAGTAGAGACCACTTCTAAGTAATAAGACTGCCAATTGTACCATTAAATAATTTATGTTTTTTTTTTCTCTTTTATGTTTTCTTGTGTACAATTAAGTCTATTTGATTAATTCACTCATTTTACTTAATGGTAGCAGCACTCCTTTCCTGGCTAGAAGTCTGTCTCTGTAGTTCTATTACCTATTGCAGTCTAAGGGATATAGAAAACCGGCCCAGTTATAAACTGCAAGGCAATCCATCTTAGTCGTCAGAGGTAACAATGCATCTTTAACCTTCTTTGTTTGAATTTATTTGCAGGTGTTCATAGGCTTACAGTAGCTACTTTTTATCAGCTAGACAGCTTGAGCTGGTTTGTTACTTAAGTTTTATTAAAAAATAAAGTTTCTTTCAATATTTTCTTAAATAAATAAATTACAGACCTTCGTTCAGACTCTCTACGTGGCAACTGCGACTTCACACTCTTTAGGGACAGGGCGTGTCTCCTCTCAATCATCAGGAAACCTCTGTTTAACATCCGCATGCATACCTCATTGAAGGCTTTTGACACCTGAAATTATTATTTTTATTATTCATCTGTTACCAACTATTGACGCAATGTTCACAATATCACGTTCAACGAAACAATACAATAAATTAAAGAACATCAAAGTTGGAAAATAAGTTGGAAACGGTTTTTTTTAGTTTTCTATGTTGAAAGAACTTTTTGCAGTTTGTCAAATTGCTTTATAGCATAGTTCAACCAAAAAAGCTGAACAGTTTTAAGTTCAGAATATGAGTTAACAAAATACTGGCTGTTTTGATAGAACAAAGAAAGAAATTTTATAAGAAATATATTATACATATCATATTTTACAATAATATACTACTAAATTGATCTATCAATACATACTACTAATTGGGTACATATTATTTTAATCTCGAGTAAATAAGTAAGCTAAGTATAGCTATACAGCGAGGAAACGCAGCCAGCATTCTTGGCACTATACCACCAGGAGCCGTAATTTTTGACTTTTTTCTTTTTTGTGTGTTAAGAATATTATTTGTAAATATTGTAATTAAAAAACGAATAAAAAATTATGTTATAATATATACAATAAACAAACCAAAAAGCATAAAAGGTTTTTAGTTCAGAGTATGAGTGAGCAAAATACTGGCTGTTTTGATAGAACAAAGAGAGAAAGAAATGTTATAAAAAATATATACGTAATTTTCATAATATATACAATGAATGAAACATAAAAGTATCAACCATAGTTAATATCCTCAAGGACGAAGAGTAATTGGGTGCCCAGTTTTGATATGACTAGCCAGTGCGCAAACACAGGTGCACTCTGTTCCCTCACTCTCATTGTTTGATAAGAAGACAAACTAGGTTGCTAGGCGCTCGAGGCTGCATAGTTAATTCATAGAATAATCCAATAATTCATTCCGGCTCAACCCGGGACTCAAAACTAAGACACACAGTAATCACACTTAGACCACAAGACAGTCAAGCAAATGTGGCAGTATTTGAGGAAATGCTTACTTGTTAAAAGAAATATCTCTTGAAAACCGCAAAGATTAACTCAATAAAATGAGAGTAACAGAATATGTCACACGTCCTGTTCAGGAGTGGGACATATAAAGGCTTTGACTTTTCTATTAAGTTATTGTAACAAATTGCAGGTACTTGCGTGCGAGGGTTAGCGAATACAAAGCATTTTTCAAACACCTGAAAGTTATCGAATAAGGCTGTTCACCAATTAGAAAGAGCGGAATAATTAAAAAAAAACAAGTTTTTTAAAATGTTTGAGTGATTCATAGCCCTTTAACGTAAACTGAAACAACTGAGACAAACATTAAAACAATTGTGATGTAATTTTAGCCGCTTTTTATTGAAGATACTTTTAAACGGTTAAAATAAAGTCATCTCTTTTAATAAAAATTGAACTTACCAGTCTATTCTTCGCAATCTCGTCGTAAGAAAGATATGATAGTATGTTCTCAACCATAACAACAGGCAGATTTAATAAATCCATTTTTAAGTCTATATTATCACTGAAATAATTATTATAACAACATTGAAACAAAACTTCTACTGCAATGTTTACTTTAATAATTCTTTATGAGTAACAAGCTAACGATTGTAGTTTTCGCGATGTTTCTTCTTCCAGTTTATAAAAAGTACTCTATGTCTATGGCTTCTTCCTTCTTCGATTCAGTTCTATGTAGGGTTACCATTCTTCGATATTTTCCCTGACTTAATAGTACGTCTGCGGTTCGTGTTGCTTTATGAGAACGACTAAATGTTTTTATGACACTCTTATATTATGATACCTGTGATCTGAATCCTTATAAAATTATGTCAATTAAAAATTAAACACAAGATACGTCTGTTGTAGTTAATATTTCTAAAACCCACACAGCAAAAGCATCTTCTCGGTATTTTCAATATTTATAAAATTAATTTAATTTACTGACACCTTTGCGGTATCAAATACATCTATAAAATTTATTATCACACGAATTGTTAAGCACGAATAAATTATTGAGGTTTCGTTGAATGATGTAATTTAGATTTCACGGCATACATTAGAGGTAAATGCATTGCCTTACTCTACAGTTGTTGACCGTGTAGTGGCGATGCAAGTAAATCCACTAGGTACCCCATATCGTCCCGTGGGTGTATTAAAGGGCAACGGAAGAAAACAAACCATATGTTAGCAGCAGCGACTTTCTAATAACTAAAAATATAAAAAAAAACTATGAGGCAATCCCATAGGAAAGGCAAATTGATAGGCTGTAAAGGTAGTGGTAAATATATTCTACAGTTGTAGTTTGAGCCGAGTTATGTATGTAGTGTTTAGTGACAGTGTAAGTAAGTATGTAATATTCCCCCCCCCCAATTATCAACACGTCGGTGTAGTAATAAGTGGTAGAGGGAAACAAACGAAAAGATGGGCAGCAACATCTTCCTACTAACAACCAAAAAAACTGCGATTGCCAAACTTTTTTAACATGGCACGATTTAGGTTCCGGGACAGTGAAACTTAAAAAAGCAAAATTATATAAATATGTGTTTACTTGATTTTTTTGCACAGGTAATAAATCCTTTAGACCTAATTTCAGTCACTGTGACTAATTTCACACAGTTTAAAAAATTACGAAGATGATTTAAATCATTATGATAATTGCTGGTTTTATTTACTAGGCATACAAAATGTTGCAAGAATTCACATTTTCACTTTAGTAGCGAGAAGTTCTGGGAAAATAACCTGGTAATACTGGTAATAGTTTTCTGTCACCCACAAACCAAAGACTAACAATTTTTTTACTTATAGTGGCATTGACTATATGGTTTTCAGCCAAAATAAATATTAGACGGTATTGATGCTAACTTTAAACATAAGGTACTTATAAAATAGTACTAAAGCCTGTACAGAGCGATGGCGATATTATTCCAAGTTATCAAGTCGTCTGACTGTACTAAATAAGTTGTGGTTAATATTCAGTCAGCTATATTATGTTCTTATACGCGAGTTTTTATAGATCTCTTGTTTGTCCTATATAAAAGAAACCACATTCACAATCAAGCTTGTACACTCTCACACCATCCATTAATTAACTGTGATGGATGGTGGTGAGATTACCATTCAAATATTAGTTGGTATGAGTGGTATGGTATGAGTAACAAGTAAGTCTTTTTCCTCTACACATTGTAACCAATAGTGTTATCAGGATTTCGGATGACTAAAAAAATCTAGACAAGCTAAAGAACTATTCGCCTCAGCTCCATTGTGAATTGTATTTTAGAGTTTATGGAGCAGCGCTAAGAGCCGCGGGTTCGAATCCCGCACGGAATAAATATTTGTATAGCCGACAAATAATTGTTCCGGGTCTGGATGTTTGTCCTTGTGTAATTTATGTATCTAAACTACCCTCACGGTACGGAAAAACTATATCGATTCTCATTCTCACTTTTGATCATTAAAATATTCAAACAAGTATGTGTTTTATTTTCAAAACTATAATAAAGGGTACCAGATTGAATTTTGGTAGCAGTGGACAGAATTATATTGCCCAAGTGTATGCGCATGCACAGGTCTACCCTACTTTCTTACTCTTTTAGTCCGATGGAACGGTAATCCGAGACGACGGGAGAGAGATCAGGCGCAGGATCAACAGCTTTACGTGCTTCCGGAGGCACGGTGGTGAAACCCCGCCAACTTCAATAAGGAAAAAATAAATGGTCACTTAACTCATATCTATAACAAATTTTTATTTTCAGTTTGTATTATAAACATACTTAGTACCTATATCTACATGTTTTTTACCTGCTACTAGCTCACCTAATTTTTCACTACCTGTCAATGGCATACCACGGTTATCAATATTTTTTTAAATATATTGTTATGTTTATACGACAACAGCGGGCGTGCGTAAAATTGTTACGGGTGCTCTCTACGTCACCCTGCGGACGACTGCACTGGGGGGACTGTTTGGTCGGTCCGCATGCTATTTAATCGCACAATATTTGTTTGATATTTCTTTTTAAAATGATATATACTCTTTTATTGAAAAATAAACCCATAATTCACTCACGTATTTACTGATTAACACATAGCCTGAATTTAATTTTTATCGAGACAAAATGTGTCAATCGTGTTTTGGCCACCATAGTTTACTGAGAAAAATCTTTAACTTTCATGTTAAAAAAATGTGAATTCATAGTTTTTAATGACAAAAAATTTATGCGCACCTATAAAGCGTGAAAAATCTGCTTTTAGCGCCCACTTCACCTTAATGCATTCCCATCTTATAATATTGGTTAAGGAAATACCATCGATACCTTATTGCAAAGTGAAATCAATAATAAAATTAAATTCTGGGGAGATTTATTGAGACCCAAAATTAATGTTATAATTACTTTAGCATCATGTAATCTACCTTTAAGGGGCCATGATTCTGATTCTGGAAATTTATGTCAATATGACGTTTACTATCCAATTATGAACCTTTTTTAAAAGAACTTCTTTTAAAACCGAATGGCGAAACAAATTATTTAATCTCTAAGATTTAAAATGATATTAATTTGCTTGGTACCGCAGTTAGGAATAATATTACAGTACTCTATCGTTAATCTGCCACCATAAATTCCTAACCATCGGCGGATTACTGCAAACGGCGAATTATAATGTAAATAACAATAAAATGAAAGAAAAAAACACAAAATGTATGATTTATTTTAATATTGTCTTTAAGAAATCAACAAACATAAATTTTTTACTATTATTGATAACTTCATCGCGCATTTTACGTTGTTTGCATTTGCAACTATTTTTTTTTTAATTTAATTTGCATTTAATACAAATATCTACGCTATTCAGGGCATCTTCAGATTTGACAGTGCTAACAGCATGAAAGATCCAATCCATGAAAAATCCATCAAACGTCTTCGTCTGATGTTTGGCCAGCTAACACTTTTTAGTCCGGGCGGCTAAAGAGCGGTAGCACCGTGCGGCGGAGTATGTCGGCGGATTACAGAGTGTAAATCAAGATTATATGACAATCCAGTACAAACAACGGCGGATTATAGTACTTGTCGGATAATCGAGCGGCGGATTAGCGAGAGAGTACTGTATTTTAGAAATTAAAATAAGCTCAATTTCTGGCAATCATTTTGGATACAAGACTTGTCAAAAATTTATCAACTTTCTGTAGTTTTTCGATACACCTCGATAACAGAAAAAGATGATAATGTACCCAAAGAATTAAAAATCTGTGAGTCCTTTTTGAGGTTTATAGCAGTATCCTATTGCAGTGCAGTAGGACTTAAAACTGAAATTTTAAATACGATTAAAGAATATGGAATTGATTTGTCTAAATGTAGAGGACAGTGTTACGATAGAGCAAATGCTATATCGGGTGACTATGGAGGATTACAAGCCCTTATAAAAGAGTCAGGCCCCGAATGCATTAAATTTAATTTTAAACGGTGCTGCGAAACATGTTATTGAAGTTTCGACTTTTTTCAATAATTTAGAAAAAATATATACTTTTACTAGCAATAAAAGTATATATTAAGTAAATAAATAAGTATATACTTTTATTAGCAATAAAAGTGTATGTTTAGTAAATAAGATTACTAATATTTTTAAAAAAAAGTATAAAACGCTGGGCAATGTTGAGTAGAGATTCATTTGAAAAAATATAAAATTACTCTAAAAAAGGTATGTCCTACTAGATGGTCTTCAAAGGACGACGCCTTATTATCGATAAAGAAAAGATATTTATTAATCATGAAAACTTTGTACCAACTAAATTTAATTTCCACTAAAAAAGATGAACTTGAAGAATGTAAAAATACAATTAACAATTTAGATATTTATGATTTCATAGTACTTGTGCTGTTTTTTTCTTCACTATTTGAAATCCTGTTTCGAAAGCTATACAGCATGAAAATAATGACTTACAAAGAACTTGTATTTTACTAAGTAATCTTTTGAATAGATTAAGCAAAATAAGAAATCTAAATTCATTCAATGGTTTGCTAAATGAGTCCAGAGATTTAAAAAAAGAATGGAGGGTAACAACTATTTTCAAAAATAAAAAGTGAAAGATAACGATGAATACTCAACGTGATGAAATGACGTGATTAAACGGCTAGATTTCAAAGTCTATGTATACTATTGCTGTTTAGATACATTAATTTCTCATACTAAAGAAAGATTTCAGAGCCCTTGTCACCTGAATAATATGTTCGAAGTATTACAACCGGAGAAAGTACTATTTCCTTCAAATGAAGTGATAAAAACGCTTCAAAAAACGTAAAATCATCTCAGTTAATGCTTAAAATCTGAAATTCAAAAAAATCATTCCATAAAGGAACTAATGGAATTATTCAGTTTTACGGAGGTAAAAACATCATGCTTACTATTCTTGACCCTTCCAGTTATAACCACAACAGCTGAAAGAAGTTTTCAAAATTAAAACAGATAAAAAATTACCTAAGGACTTCGATGGGGCTAGAACGGTTATC